TACCCTTAACAAATAAACCAGGCAACAATAGTTGAAAAAGAAACGAATGTAAAAGAATGGTATGTAGTAACTAACTCTTGGGAGGCCCAAAAAGTACGAGGTCAGTTGATTTGATGGAGAGCTTCTGCTTGTGGACAGCATTCTTAATACCCAGGACGGTAGCCAGTGACTGAATGTTGGCCGCCAATCTGGTGATGGTGGTGAATATGGTGAAGATGATGAAAATGGTGAAGATGATGAAAATGGTGAAGATGATGAAGAAAACGATGAAGATGATGATGGTGAAGATGATGATGGTGAAAATAATAATGATAACGATGAAGATGATTGTGAAAATGATGATGTTCAAGACGATGATGATGAGGATGATGACAGTAAGTGATGATGATGACGACGACGATGATGAGTAAATCATAAAAAATTATATTTGCTGCATAGCTCATGAACAAAAGCTGTTTAATAAATTTTAAGTTTAAAAATCCACTGTTCATAATTCATACTTCAAAACATAATTCAAACTAACCAGTAAACAACAAGTTTATACATATTATTTGTAACAAACAATTATATTTACAGTGACATTACAAAAGTTACATCACAAGTAACTTTACACTTATCATATTTACATTAAAACCTTCACATTACGTTGTAACAAATTGTATTACACCTTCATATTACATGGTAACAAATTATATTACAGCATATTACACACACTATCAGAAAAATTACATAAAAATGAATCATGTTAAGTCTATGAAATCATAAAACATAGCATACAATTTTATCACATATCATAACGCAATTATAACCCATTACCTTTACATTAATTAGGTATTTATGTTTGCATGTAGTGTGTGTGTATTTATGTGTCCTATCTTTGCTCTGTATTTTTTCTTAGTTTTACTGGTTACGTGTGTATGTATGTATGTATATATGTGTGTATGTATGTGCGTACGTATGTATGTGTGTATGTATGTATGTGTGCGTGTGATGATTTCAACAGATAATTTTTATACAATAAGCAATAACTTAGAGGACAATTGTTGGAAGATTTCAATTGCTAGACAGCTGTAGATTAACATTTTGTTGTTGTTGTTGCACAAGAACTTTTTTATAGATGTAATATAACTGATGACTGAAGAACAAGTGAGTAAAAAATAAATAATAATAATATAATACTAACTTACCATAATAAACGTTAACAATGTAATGATAAGTGATGATAAAAAAAAACGATGATGATGAATATGACGATGAATATGACAAAATAATGATTATCAAACTCATGATGACGACGACGATGATGAAAGTGATGATGACAAAGATGAAAGTAATATTATAAATGGCAAAACAATTAAAGTGATGATAATGATGCCGATGACGTCAAAATAATAATGACGTCACGACGACGACGACGGACAGGTATATATTAGTGGCCAAATCAAATGTGCTCACTTTCCCACACTCAGGTACATTGTAATGGTAAATTAAAGGAACATTATGCAATGTAACACACACACGCATACGCACACACACACGTTTAGTTGTTTCGGTCTACTACACATGTACTATTACACATTTTTATGCGTGCGTGCGTGTATGTGTTGTGCGTGCGTGTATGCGGTGTGCGTGCGAATACTTCAAGTTAAATTTAGAATTTTCTAACTTCTAAAACATCTATCAAATTTAGAATCTTCTTAAACATTTTACCACAAATGATATTAAATTAGTGTTAATGTATGTATAATATTGGTTACTGCTAAGAATGTTCAGCTAAATTGAATTACGCAAGAACCTTTCATAGCCAGCCAAACAATACAAGACAGTGCAAACCATAGACTAAAAAAACAAATGTCGAAATTAGTGAAAAAAAAGAAACAAAAAAACAAAACAAAAACGGATAATTCTAACAAAAAATATACAAATGAAAGCAGAAAGAAAATAACTTTGGTATGCTCCTTCCATCGACCTTGTTATCCACAAAGTTCTTGGTGTACTGAGGCAGTTCGACATAGAGGTTCAGCCAGTTAACAACATCCTCCGTACTCCAATTGTACACTTGTAATTTAATTATAATTTATAATTATAATTAATATTTGTAATCATAATAATTAATATTTATGACCATAATTATTAGTATTTAAGATCACAATTGTTGGTATTTACAGTCATAATTATTAGTATTTGTGATCATAATCGTAGTGGTAATGCAGTATAGAATTAGACTGACCACCGCTGTTGAACCAGAAGTGCCAGAGGTCGAGGACAGTGATGTGGTCGTCATTTTCGTGGTACGTCTGAACAACGCTGTCGTGGTGTAAGTCCTCTCGAAAAAACTAGTGAAATAAAATAAATAAAATAAGATTTTGAAAATTCATCAAATTTAGTAACACAATTTATGAGAGAATAAAAAATTGGTTTCTTTTACTGATGAGTCGTATACAAAAATTTGTGATACATATTTGCATGGGTTCAATAGATTTGGGTTTAGAAATTGTTATTATAAGATGTTTAAGTTAATAATAAAGAGAAAAAAATTTGCACAAATTACATCTTGTGTGTGTGTGTGTGTGTATGCGTCTATGTATGTATGTGTGTGTGTGTGTGTGTGTGTGTGTGTGTGTGTGTGTGTGTGTGTGTGTATGTGTGTGTTTAAATCAATGTTAAAAAGAAAACAGCTAACTAAAAATTTACTCCACAACAACAATCTCTGTCAACAGCTGATAAAGTAAAAACTTTATCTGATAATGGCATAAAATAATTGTAAACAGAAAAGTTTAAAACTTTAGAGGCTAGGCAAAAACACATGCACACAACACGCACACACACACAAACTAGCACACTCACACAAACATTTACACAAACGCACATAACATATATACATACATTTCTTTTATCAATGTGCTTATACTCAAATATTTATTGGATTAGGTATCAATACACATAACAGATGAATGTGTGCATCTAGCTTAGCAGTATTAAAGAATTGACACAACACATATTACATGCTCATCATCATCATCGTCGTCATCGCCATCATCAGTATATCATCAATATAAATACGATTTAAAAATCACTGATGACATTCTTACTCACATCATCATGTAATGGTAAAAAAATCCCAGACACCTCTTTGATTGATTCTCCGTTAATAATACCAGTCAAATCACTTTTTCATTATTAAAACACATAGACAAATAACACAAAAACACATAGACAAATAACACAAAAACACATAGACAAATAATAAAAAAACACACAGACAAATACACAGACACAAAAAACAGATATGCACAAAAACACAAAAGTACTTACATACATCAAATAATAAATAACACTAAAATACTTACATCCTCACTCTCTGATCTGTCAAGTTCCCCATTCTTGTCATCGTCAATTAATGAATGCAGATAGGAGATGGCTTCGAATCCCTCAGAGTCCTTTGTGCAACTTTCTTCTGTTCGGGGACAGTCTGGGGGTGAGTCATAATAAAAAAATTCTATACCATTCAACTTACCTAACTGTTTAATTAATTTTATATAAAAATTAATGTACACAATCTATAATTTTAAAAAATTAAGTAAAAACAAAAAAGAAACTATTTTTATTTTTTAGTTTTCAAATTAAATTTAAAAAGCAAATTAATGAATAATTTAATTAATAAGCGGTAATTTATTTACGGCTCTCTACAAAATTAAATAATTTGTTTCCTATAACAATCCGGGCAACGTTACTAACGGTTATCATCTGCTCGAGTTGTGCTGCTGGAATTATTGAGAATTTTTCCGGTTTCACAATACGAAACCACCTTAAATATAAGAAGAAAGTTCAAACCAAAAATTTGAAAAACTAACATCTTAATCAATTACTTGCAAGATTTAATTATTTAAATTAGTTAATTAAATTTCATACAAATAAATTTTTATCGGTTTTTTTTTCTTAAGATATCAACACAAACGTCACTGAAGCTAGGCCAACTGAAGCTAGTAATTGAACCAAAAACTACAAAAATAGTTAAGATACGGTGACCAAATTAGCGTAAAAATGTATAATTATGTATTTTGCAATAAAAATCTCGACGCTTTTAATATATAATATTTTGAATTAGCCAAGAAGTTATCATTATGCATTACTGAACGTACACAATAGTTGAAATATTTTGGAATGTGGTGCTCATAAAGTGAATTAATTTGATAGTATTTTTTTAACAGACTCGTATACTACGTATACTACTCAATCTCCTAAGCATGAAAATGTATAATTTAGTAATGAAAATAACGACGTTTATATATATATAGTATCTTGAATCAACCTAATAGTTATCATTATGTATTATGGAACACGCACTATAGTTCGATTTATATTGGAATGTGGCGCACTGGATATTTATATCCATGTGTGGCTCTGACATAGCTGTTAATTAATGTAGTACTCAATCTCCTAAACATGTAAATGTATAATTTGATGATGGAAATAACGAAGTTTTTTATATATAGTATCCTGAATCAACCTAAAGGTTACCATTATATATCACTGAACTCAAAAGGTAGCACTATAGTTCTATTTTCTGGAATATGGTGCTCAAACAGTGAATTAAGTTGGTAGTTTTTTTTACTAGAACCGTGGACTACTCGCAATCTCTTTAGAATGAAAGTGTATAATTTGGTAATGGAAATAGCGACGTTTTTGATATATGTACATCAAATATTATTTTAGTTTGGCTTATTTTCTTATATTATTATAATATACGGTCATATTAAATACAACGTACGTCAATTTAAAAATTATCAAAATTTGAATAATTTAATTACAATGTAATACACGCAATACCCAATACAACATCACCGGTATGGCAATTAAAATTTCAAACCGAATCAGGAATCATCTGGCAGTACTGCCTGTGACCAGTCAACACCATCGAGAAAACTTCATACATATATACATACATATATACATACATACATATATACATGATACATTACTATGGTATATTTTATACACACATACATTACCATATACAATACAATATATGTAATATATTGACGTTATATAGGTATGGCTCGAATCTATATGTTATGTTTGTATGTATATGTGAAAATTTGTATGTTATATATATATGTTACATTGTGTTATAATATATATTTGTATACAAATTTATTTAATATATATAAATAAATAATTTTATATAATTTGTATACATTTGTGTGTTTGTTATGACATGCAAATGTATATGTATGTATATGTGTATATAGGACAGCTGTTTGTATAAGCATAATTAAATATCATTCACGTGACATTCGCTCGTTCATCATTAATCTTCGCTCGTTTATCTCTTTAAATTTCTGTATTGTAAATTATTTATTTGTAAATTTAACCTTAAAAACATTAAAATCGATTCTTATCGATTGATTTTGTTGATTTGAAAATGTCTGTCGGAATTAAAATTAACGATCCTGGAGCTGCATTCGCCACCCATCAGCTTGCAGTCACCAGGGACTATGTCTCACAACCCAGGCTCAGTTAGTGATTTGGATTTGTTTGGGGAATTTTTTTTAGTTAGTAAGTTAGTACATTTGAAAATTACGATTCTCTTTTTGTGAAGTTGAACAGTTTTCTGCAGAATTTAATTTATGATTGTAGAAGAACTTTTAGGTAAGACAAGTTAATTTTAATAGTTTTGAAAAAATAATAAAATAAATGAATATTAAATGTTGTAAATGTTAAGCTTGCTTAGATATAAATTATAAATTAGAATGATTAGTTAATTAATTGAAAGACTTACTAAAGTAAAGTCCAGACTAGTGTAATTAAGGGTAAGACAGTCTAGAAAAGTAAAAAATAGTCAAAAAATAGATAAACTTAGCATCTAGCTAGGTGGCAATAGTTTTTCAAGATGTTTTTCTGTTTTGAATCAGCCAGTGATATGGAATTATTTTATAACTACTTAACACAATCTTTATATTAATATTCACCATTTTATTTCACCAGCTTATAAAACCGTGTCTGGAGTCAATGGACCCCTTGTTATATTGGATGGAGTGAAGGTGTGTTGTTCATTTTAGTCATTTATCACAAATTCATCTTTGACAGTTGTTATAATCATGTCTTTAGTTTTAATGATCACAAACCAATATGTAAATAAACTTAATTAAATAATTAACTAACTTAATTAACTAATTCTTTTCAGTTTCCTAAATTTGCTGAAATAGTCAAACTAACATTGCAAGATGGAAGCATTAGAAGTGGTCAAGTACTGGAAGTCAGTGGCTCTAAAGCTGTCGTTCAGGTTGGTTGTTTGCCCATTTTTTATATGTATCAATCACTGTGTGTATTATGTATCATTGTATATCATTATGTATCATTGTTCACTTTTAAAACTATTTTAATCATTATGAAACAATTTCAAATATTTAAAATTTATTATCTACAAATTTATTGATATAACATTTATATAGATATATATGTATATCAAATGTTAAATTATCTCTAAATTTGCTGATATAATGTCAAACTAAACACAAACATGACACAATTTTAATGAACGTTGATCTGAAAGGTATTTGAAGGTACCTCAGGTATTGATGCAAAGTATACGACGTGTGAATTTACTGGCGATATCTTAAGGATACCTGTTTCAGAAGATATGTTGGGTTTGTATAATTTTTTTACTATAATTATCATAATTATTAATATAATTTTTTTTTTATAATATTTTTATTTTTATTTCATAATTTGCATGTTTATTATTTGTAGGGAGAGTTTTCAATGGCTCAGGAAAGCCCGTTGACAAGGGTCCAAATGTTTTAGCCGAAGATTTTTTAGATATTCAAGGTTATACAGATTGATTGGCTGGTTGATTGGTTGGTTGGCTGGTTGATTGATTGGTTGGTTGGCTAGATGATTGATTGATTGGTTAGTTGGTTGTGCGTGTATGTTTGTGTGTGAGTGTGTGTTCTAGTGTTTGAGAGATAATTGCAGTCATATTTGGAATCTTACTTATAGTATAAACATTTCACTTTAGGACAACCAATCAACCCTTGGTCCAGGATTTATCCTGAAGAAATGATTCAAACTGGTCAGATGTGTTTCTTTTTTATTTTATTTTTATTTATTTCTTTTTAATTTCTCAGCGAATTCACAAGTAATCAGATTGCTAAATTTTTGTTAACAAAAGCAGTACCGATGTCCTGAATTTTAATTTGAAATAAAATAATTGATAATTAAATTGCAAATAATTATTTAAAAATTATAAGGCATATCTGCTATTGATGGTATGAATAGCATTGCCCGTGGTCAGAAGATTCCTATATTCTCGGCCAACGGACTTCCACACAATGAAGTATGTTCTGTTTTTCTTGTTTTTTTCTCTTGTTTCTTTTTAAATTTCTTATTGTTTGATGTTGTTTAAGATATATTGTTATTGTTGGTGTTTTGTAGGGTTCTATATTTATGATTTTGCTTATTTGACGTTGTGTTGCAAAAATTTTCATAAATAAGATTGTATTAAATTAAATAGAATATCAATTGTAGGTTTATTATTTAATGAGTTGATTAACTTTTTTGAAAATGTTCCAATTGAAGATAGCGGCACAAATCTGCAGACAAGGAGGTCTTGTGAAACTTCCAGGAAAGAGTGTACTCGACGATCACCACGATAACTTTGCTATCGTCTTTGCGGCTATGGGTGTATGTATCTATCTATTTTTTCACTTACTTACTTTTTCGTTCTATGCTATTCTATTCTATGTCACTAGTGTTTTAATTTTTTCTAAATTATCATTTAATACGCCAGTGACTTTCTACAAAAGTCCGTTGAATATTTTTTGAAAATTAATTTCTTCCACAACTAGGTGAACATGGAGACGGCTCGATTCTTCAAGCAAGATTTCGAAGAGAACGGTTCTATGGACAATGTGTGTCTCTTTCTCAACCTGGCTAATGATCCTACGTTCGTTTCTTTTTTCTACTGTCTTTCATTTTGTTCTTTGAGTTCTTCCATAAAATATTATTTTCATTTTTTTGTACTTAATCATCTTCCCCGTCATTAGCATCTTAATTTTTTCTAAATTACCATCGCCATCATCATCATCGTCGTCGTCACCTCGGTCATCTCGACAGAATTGAGAGAATCATCACACCTCGAATTGCGCTGACCACGGCCGAGTTCATGGCCTACCAGTGTGAGAAGCACGTCCTGGTCATCATGACTGACATGAGTTCGTACGCCGAAGCTCTCCGTGAGGTCTTTCTACGTTTCTCTATTTGCTTTCTCGTTTGTTTGTGTTAAATTTCATCTTGCTAGTATTGACTTTTTAACGTTCATCAAACTTCGTGAACAAGTAAAATGTTTGTGAATTAATTGATTCTCCACGCACAACATAGTGAAAGACAACGACGCACTTGTACACGCACACACACACGCTCTAGCAAATTTACACACAAACACACACACATGTACACACACACGCTTTAGCAAATCTACGAACGTCACACACACACACGCATACACACACACACATACACACACAGGTATCAGCAGCCCGAGAGGAGGTACCTGGCAGACGAGGATTCCCTGGCTACATGTACACCGATCTGGCCACCATCTACGAGAGGGCTGGCAGGGTTGAGGGAAGAAACGGGTCAATCACCCAGATTCCCATTCTTACAATGCCTAACGATGGTAGTTTATGTGATGTAATCGATGTAATTAAATGATGTAACGTAATGTTGATGATGACTAAAATGATATGTGATGGTGAAGATGATGATGAAGATGATGGTGACTCGATGGGGACGATGACAATGTATATGATGAGGACGATGACGACTAAAGTGACGGTAATGACCATGATGATGTTGGGCGAGAATTGCATGTTTAATAATGTCATGCTGTAATTAATGTGTATCTATCCCTTAAGACTTATTTTGCCCAAATTATTATCAACAACTAACCATGTTTATCTTGAAAAACTTCATTTTCTTTGATGCGAACACTTATTGAGTATAAGGAAAAGAAGATCTGATTAATTTTTAACAAATTCAATTTTTAGACATAACTCACCCAATTCCCGACCTGACTGGCTACATCACAGAAGGACAGATTTACGTTGACAGGCAACTCCATAACAGACAGGTTAAAAAGAAATTATTCGTGAAAAACATCTTAGTTTTAATTCTTCCATTCAGCTGATGTTGGGTGTAATTAATTGAGAATGAGCTTCCATTTTATTTTATTGTATAAATTATTTTGCGATTGATTTTTTGTTTGATTGAAACTTTCATTCTTGACAAATTACAATTTTAAAATTAGTTTTTCAAACAATGAATTGATAATTTCAGTGCTTCTATCTAATGGTTACTAATGCAAAAACAAACATACCATTTAAAGTCAAGAGATCATATAAACAATCAATCGAAAATTAAGCCAACAAGAGTCAAAAAACACAAAATTATGAAACAAGTTTAAGAAATTTCGTACTGAAACAATATATTATTCTTATTCTACTCTCTGCTTTTCAGATCTATCCTCCCATCAACGTGCTGCCCTCACTGTCAAGGTTGATGAAGTCAGCCATTGGGGACAACATGACCAGAGATGACCATGCAGATGTCTCCAATCAGCTGGTTGGTTTCGTTCATCTTATAGATTTTTTTAACTTTTCTATTTCGTTCATTTTTGTTTATTAATTTTATAATATAAAGTTTTAGATATTTTAAATTTTATACATATTTATTTGTTTGTTATTACAATGTTTTAGTTTATTTCTGCTAACCATGGTCTGTTCTTGGAACAATGCTTAAACTATCAATCTCTAGTTTATTTGGCAAGCCAGTTTCTCTAAAGGAATGCAATTTTCAATCATTCATGTTTCTATATAATCTTTCCACCACTGCAGTATGCCTGTTACGCCATTGGAAAAGATGTACAGGCGATGAAGGCCGTAGTGGGAGAGGAGGCCCTGACACCGGAAGATCTGCTCTACCTCGAGTTCCTTCAAAAATTCGAAAAAACTTTTATTGCTCAGAGTGAGTAGAATCAAGTGAACGATGCGGTTTATGTTTATGCCGGCATTTATATACTCTAAAGAGTTTACAATTTTTTTCAGATTTTTACATTTTTTTACAATGTTTGTAAATTTCGTCTCTTACCCAGGTCCCTACGAGAACAGGACAATCTTCGAGACACTGCAGATAGGATGGCAGCTGCTGAGGATCTTCCCGAAAGAAATGTTGAAACGCATTCCACAACCTCTCCTGGCCAAGTATTACCCCAGGGAAGCTAAGGAGGAATAAAAGTCCCTTCGTACATACACTAACCAACCCTCAACTACTCATCCATCTGCAACATTCTTTTTCCATTCACCTACTTGCTTACCACTTACAAGTCGACCTTATTTAATTTTCCGAAGATGTATTTCATAGGATTTAATGGCTCATAGAATTGTCCTTTATTTTAGATAGAAACGTAAATCATGTACTAGATATAGTTTTTTCTATAATTATGATTAATTTCATAACTTTTTCTGAGAGGATCGTTGTATTTGACGCTTTTCAGATTGTAAATTGTTTCCAACTTTTTAAGAATTTATTTATCTTTGTTGTAAATTACTTTTTTTTTACGATGAAGTTTTTCAAGTTTGATTAGCTGATTTTATGTCTAATTGTGCGTAATAATCTTTCTCCTTAATGATTTATTTATTCGTTATAATTATCGATCATGTTTCTTTAGTTGAAAAGTTGTTTTATTATATAATAAATGTCTATGTAGTTTAATTCATTTTCTCCTATGAACATTGTGTGTTGTGTGCGTGTGTGCGCGTGTGTCTGCTGCTGAGTGTGGTGTCTGTGTTTTTATGTGTGCGTGGATATCTGTATTTATTTGTGATGTTGAACTAACTGAATGAAAATTTGAAAAATGTATGGCTCTATTTAAAATGCATTGATATAGGTAATTAATTAAGCTGTTTCTAGTGTCAATCCGTGTTTGTAAAAATTTTCAATTAAATTTTGGAACTTAACGTGATTAATTTTTTTAATCTTTCAAGATTTGTTAAACTTTGTTCAATATTTATCTTTAAGACCATACTTATTATAAACTGTTTTTACCATAATATGAGGTAGAAGGTTAGTAAAATCTCGATTTATATAAGGTTGATTGACTGGTCTATTCAAAAAATGAAGTTAACGCATTTGGACTGGATGTCTTGCAACAATATAAACTTTCAAATGAGATACTGGGAAATATATTTGAATTGTTTCAGTGTTGATCACGTATGCTCAAGTTTTTCAATTCTGGACACCATTCAAGAATTGCTCTAGTCTTAGTAGAATTTTGACGAAAACGTTACATTATATTGTGGGATTTTAGTGTAAGAAAAGGCTAAAAAAAATTTAAACTGGTTTAATTGAGTTTCTCTTTAATTAACTGAAAAAAGAATCTATATTCCACTTCAATATTAAAAAAAACTACGATCATATATATATATATATAAATATATTATATTATATTCTATAATATATATGACTTAAATTCTATAAAAAATGTTTTCATGGACCGACTTACCTTACGTAATGTTGTTTTGTTGTTGCGTAACCAACTTCATTAACATGTCTTGTTCTTGCGTTGAGGTCTGAGATTGAAAACACTGAGAAATTAGATTGGATTCTAAATGGATGCTAATCTTTCTAACTATTAGTGATTTTTTGTTGGAATCTGCTGTTTTATTTGATGTTCGTACGTTGGCGTAAATAAATTGATGCTTAGATTATTAATAAATAAAACAAAACTTCAAATTCAAAGAAAACCAACCTTACATTTTTTAATTTTTACAAATTTAAATTTTAAAATTTTGGATCCGCATTGCATATATACAAATCAATGGTTAATTTAATCTGTGAATGCTATTACAATTACCGAAAAACTGAAAAAACTAGAGATTTTTAAAAAGAGGTTTTGGTTTTTTTGAAATTTGAATTGAGCTACTAAACCACCACTAAATAAATGTGAGATGTCAAACAATTTGCAAGTTGTGCTGGTTAGTGGCGAGCATCCTGACAGAGACTTACAACAACAACAAATACATCAACAACAGATCCAAAGTGATCTGAATGTCTTGAACATCGTGCAGAGTGATGTCAAAAAAGCCTGCAACGAGTTAGCACCTGTATTTTTTTAAATTTAATTGTAATTAGTAATTGTAATTGTAATTAGAAATTTTATTTATTAAGTAGTTGTAATTAGTAATTGTAATTAGTAATTGTAATTAATAAGTAGTTGTAATTAGAAATTGTAATTAACATATTTTATTCAATAATTATGTCACAAATTTTAGGCCATTTTACATAATTTTTGAATGGCCGCATAGCATATTTTGTTTAATAATTAATTTGTTAAAATTAAATTTATATTTCAATGATAGCTAATTTTTGTAGTGCTGCTGTTTTTAATTGAAAATTTGTGGCCTATATTTTTTTTTCTGCCTCAAAAATCATTTACCCTCATTTTGGTTCTAAATAAAAATGATGATATTTTAACAAATTCTTACATATGCAGTAAAATTAAAATTTGTTGTAATAAATAAGAGAGATAGATAGATAGATAGATAGATAGATAGAGAGAGAGAGAAAGAGAGAGAGAAAGAAAGAGAAAGAAAAAGAGAGTGTCTAATTATTCATTGCATTCATTTTACACATTATTTTTCATGTTTAACTCAATTAATCAGTGATGTTATGGAGTTATTCTTGAATTGTATTATGATAATTAAATAAACATACAAACAAACAGCATCACTATTTCTTTAAAAATTTCTATTTTTAGCCTGTTTTTTTTTTATCTTAAATCCAATTTTTTTTATTTCAATATTGTTCATATTTTTCTTTTAACTGGTTTAATCATATATTCTCATTGAAAAAAATTTTTCATAAAGAATCAATGCAGAGCTAAAAATGCTGACATTAAAAAACTTCGACCACCAAGAGTCTGACCAATTGAACATCTTCTACCATGCTGATGTCGCAATCGTTGACGTATCATGCATGATGTACCAGTCTTCCATGTTTTATCAGATTGGTATCAGAGAGAACCTTGGCAGACCGGAGACCATCATCATGATATATGATACTAATCCTGAAAGAACACTTGCTCTTAAGGTTCTAACTTCTGTACATTTTTATATTCCCAAGTGTTATTCAATTTTTTCTTAATTTTTAAATTCTGAATACATTTTAAATAAAACTTTGAAAACTCATCTTTTTTAATTTTTTTTCATGCAGCTGTCCAGTGGTTCATTTGATTTTCTTTCCTATAAACTTGATAGATTGGGTAATTAATTATTTGTTTTTCGTTATCATTGTTATCATAAATTCTATCATCATCGTCGTCATCATCGCTGTTATCATCATCATTTTCATAAATGACCACCACCACATCATCGTCATTGTCATCATCTTTATCATCATCTTCATCATCATTTTCCTCATCATCTTCATCTTCTTTATCATCATAGGGAAAAACTTAGTGGCAGAGTTCAGTGGATTAAGTTTGATGGAGTTGAGAAGTGACCAACCTGGTGTAAAGAACATAGGTTTCCAACAATGCCTCAGAAAGGTTTTGAAGGCTTATGCATGTAAAACTAGGTATGTATTGAGTACACTGCTTTTAGTTGTTTATGTTGTTTATGTTGTTGTTGTTATTTGTATTGTTGTTTATGTTGATGTTGTTGCCGATGTTGTTGTTGCAGAAATCTAGGTATTATGTTTTATGCATTTTATACTGTGTTATAATTGTTATCTTTGTATATGTTATTATGTTGTTTTGGGTTTATTAAATACCATCTTGTTACAAAGTTTGTATTACTATTTATAATTATAAATAAATAAATAGATAAAATTATTAATAATGAATAATTAAATAATAATATTTATAATATAATGATCTTTTGAATGTCTCACAAGGGCTCAAGTGAAAGAGAAATTTTTGTCAGAGCTGAAGAAAGCCAGGGAGACCTGGAAAGGTGAAGACCTTATTAATGTGAGTTGATGTGATGCGATGATGTCATAACGTTATTATGATGCGACGGGATGATGTCATTATAATGTGATGATGATGTAATAATATATCGAAGTGGTCTGCTGATGTTGTTGTCATGTGATTTGATGTGATGATATTGCCATCATGATGTGATGTGAAGTCTGATCCATAACGGATGGAGACTATAAACGAGGATTGATTGATTGATGTGATTAATGATGTGATGGATGTTGTTATCATGTGATTATACGGTATGACGTCACGTCACGTGATGTTATTGCTATGACGACGTGATGACGTTATGTGGTGATAGTGTTATCGCGATGTGATGATGTTATCATGGTGAGCTGATGTGATACCGCGATATTACCTATGATAGCCTGTCATTGTGATATGAATGATGGTGATTTTAAACAAGTGACTGTTTAGATGAAGAAGATGATGCTAATGTTACAGATGATAAATAAAATATATATACATATATAAATAAATAAATAAATAAATATATATATATATCATATATATCATATATATATGATATATATCATATATATATATATCACCTATGCAAATTGATGACGATGAATTATAATAATAATAATAAATAATAATAAGAATAATTATAAATAATGACCTTATGATAGTGATTACAAATATTTAAATTAAAATCATTTCAAGAGAAGAGTTATTACACAGGGTAATGCATGCATAAACAAATAGACCAAATTACGCAAACAACGCACACACGCACACACACAGAAAGGCACACACACACACACGCAGAAACGCACACACACCCACGCACGCACGCACATACACACTTTTTTCGTAGAAACTTTCATATACATAAGTTAAATAAACCTCAATAAACGAATAAATAAATAAACCATTATTGCGTAAATTTGACAGTTTCTTGCTTAAATGTTTATTGTATTTGTTCATGGTGAATGGTTTTATGAAATTAGAATGATGTTTAACATCACAACATACATTTAACATTACAAAAGGTACTAGCAAGTATCAAAAGCAGATATTATGGCCCAGAATTGTACTCATCTGACATTGTACTCAACATGCTACTGTCTTATAGAGATGTACAGGTTTGTGTTGTCTGTACGTGTATGTGTATGTGTGCTTGTTTCTGCAGTCTTTCTGTAGTCTCCTAAATATCTCTCTCTCATTAGCCAGGCTTTTTTTAATAGCAATGTTTGATTTTTCATATTCTGCTGTTATTAATTGCATTATTATTATGCCCGCCAGTTGTTGTTGCGATTAATTTTGGCTTTCATTTCACTTCATTTGCTACTTAGTCTTATCTATTGAGAAGTCGCTTTGCAGTATTGATAACTGTCGTGTATATATATATGACGACCAGACATTTATTTATTCACAGACACTTGTATTGATTTGCATATACAAGCATACAAATAATAAATAATAAAAACACACTCAAAAACACACACAAAACACACGCTTACACACACACACACACACACACACACACACACACACACACACACACACACACACACACACACATACATACATACATAATATCAGTATTAGGTCAGGCGATAGTAGGGAATATTTTTTCGCTATGAATAATATTTCGTGCATTCTGCAGCGGTTTTTGCGCGTCTGTGTGTTGGAAAATGTGGAGTTGAATGCCGACGGGGTTGAGTGACGTTATAGCAAATAAAATCAAATTTAGTCAGACGCTTGGCTTTTGGTGTCATTCGTCAATGATTTGGTTTTAACATACATACATACATACATACATACATACATACATACATACATACATACATTGTCCTAATAAAATACATATATACATACATACTTACATACAGTTATATATATATCTTTATAGTTCTAATCAATTATGGGTTCTTACATACATACATATGTAGACGCACGTGACATGCAACATACAGACACTAAACATAAAACATCGTACACTTCAACACACATACGTATAATGTACATGCATTGAGTGCTTGATTTGATATTTTGTATGCGTACATGCATTGCATTTGAATCACATCTTTCTGCAATAATGATTATGATAATGATGAAGATGATGACGATGATGATGACGATGATGACTATTTTTTTCCAGGATTATTCCTCGATGGTTGAACTGGTAGAAGACATGGAGGATCTCTCATTGAACATCACTGATACGGTCGCCATACAACATTTATACGCCTTTGCGCTAAATAGGTATGTTCGTTTAATGTTTGCTTGTGTTCGTGTGTGTTTGTGTATGTGTACGTGTACGTGTGTGTGCGTATGTGTACGTGTGTGTGCTTGAATGTTTGCTTAGGTCTTTTAATGTTTTTGTGTTTTTTCTTCAGTCTTGTAGTCCCTAAATCACAAATCTTTTGGTAGTTTTGATATAAATAAATAAACAAATAAATAAATATAGTATATATATATATATATATATATATGTGTGTGTGTGTGTTTGTGTTTGTGTACTATATATGAATATACGTGTATGTAGGTATATTTACTGTGTGTGTGTGTGTGTACGTGCGTCGGTGCGCGTGTGTGAATGTTTTGAATGGTAATCGATCCAAGGCAGATGTAGATAATTAAACAGAAAGATCCCTTGATGTCATTTGCTTGTTTACTTTATTTCCAACTTTTTTTATGGAATGACTGTTATACATTTATAAAGTTCTTATAAAGAGAGTGAGAGAGAGAGAGAGAGAGTGAGAGAGGGAGAGAGAGAGAAAGAGAGAGAGAGAGAGAGAGGAATAGTGAGAGAGACATTTAAACATTCATGTGGTCTTTTTATTTATTTTTTTTTTAAAATGCCTTACTTGTTCGAATAACTTTTATTTTATTTATTATTTATCTTTCACATTTAGGAGAAATTCAGAAGGCGACAGGGATAAATCTCTGCAGAGAATTTTAAAAGTTAGTTTTTTATTTGCTTCGAAGTTTTATTGATGTATTTTTTTGTGAAGTATGATATAATGTAATGTAATATAATATAATATAATATACTGTAATATAATATAATGTAATGTAATGTAATGCAATGTAATGTAATGTAATGCATTGCAACACAATGTAATGTAATGTAACGTAATGTATATAATACAATACACTACAATATAATATAATATATTTCCCATCATCTTCAAGAATTCTCAGTTAATTGTTCATTATACAACTGCTATTAATTATTTCACCATGACCAGAAAGGTCAATTAATTGAGTTGTGAAAATTTGTCTAGTACCTACCATGGGATTTTATTTCTCTCTAATTATAAAGCGCTAGACTTCCTGACTTGCTATAGAGGATTTTGCTATTGTATCAATGCCATCAGCGCGAAAAACGCTTTATGACGCAATTTTTTAATAATTAGCACGTAATGTACTGGGCGGAGTTTGTTCGCTGATTAACTGTCAATTATTTTTTCTTTAATTCATTTTCTTTATTCATTCTATCTACATTTTTATTTATTCACATTTCAAATAAGCACTTAGCTAACTCATTTTCGACAAGGGAAAAGCACCCATCGTCTTATACATCACGTACACTCATAAACGTACACACACACACACGCACATACAGACACACACACGCACATACAGACATACACACGCACATACAGACACACACACGCACACGTGCTCACACACAAACACTCAGACATCATATCACACATTAACACATTTCTTACTTTAACACATCTTGAAAAAATAACAAGTCATGCATGCACACGTACTAACACTCACACTTGCACATACAAAGACGTACACAACGTAAGCAAAGACACACATACAAAGACGTACACACAAACACACACACACACACATGCACGCACAGGCGATTGGTATGTCAGACACAGATGTTCCCGACTTGTTGTGCCTGTGTGGTCGAATATATAAGGATAAGTTCGTTGAGTCGGATGGTGCTGATGGAGAGTCTCTGAAGGAAGCCATTAAGTGGTGTGTGTTTGTCTGTCTGTGTGTGTGTGTTTGTGTGTGTGTGTTGTGTGTGTTAGGGTTTTTTACATAACTTTTTTCAATATTTAATCAAATTAATGGAGGAATAATACATATTAATAAACGAGTGAATGAATGAATGAATGAAGAAAGAAATGCATGGATGAATGAGTGAATGAATGTTACAGAATGAATGAAAAACCGACTGGCGAATGTATAGATTAATAAATGAATGACTGAACAAGTGAACAAATAAATAAATGAATAAATGTAAAATTTCTAGGTACCAGAAGGGCTATGATGCACAGCCGAACGAGTATGCAGGCATCAACCTGGCCACACTGCTCGTCGTGTCCGGAGAGCAGTTCCAAACGTCAGCCACACTCAAGAGAATTGGTCTGTTCTTATCTTTCCGAATGATTGCATGACAAAAGTAGATTGTAATCTTCTGTGGAGTGCATCGGATGGGTTTTCATGAGTGGAACCTAATTTGTTGTTGGTGATAGTTCAATTTCTATCAGGCGAGAGTGTTATAAAACACGCTCATGCAGTTGTTCTATCTATCCCTATTAGTCTGTTCTTTTTTGGGAGTGCTGCTGGCATTATCAGAGATATTAGTTTCATTAGTTTTTTTTATTACGATAATTACAAAAATCCAACGGCAAGTTAGCTCAGATAGTAAAAGTGCCTGCCATGTTGTTTCGCGTTGTTATTGCGCAATGACCTGGTTCGAATACTGCCTCTCGAAACTAGACTATCATACGAAATGTGTGAATGTATGTATGTAGGATGCGGTGCTTGCGCGTTTGTATCGTTCGTCGTGTGTTGGGGATGTTGTGGTCTTTGTGGCTGGAATATTTATTATGGAATGATATGTAGCCAGATCTGCGCATGTCAGAGTCTCCTAACAAAGAACCTAAAAAGCGAACAACGCCACAAACAGGTCAAACGCTAACGACGCTGATCGGCCACAAGGGATTGCTGCAGTCGTTGACGGATTATTGGGATGTGGCGACTTTTTTCGAGTTCAACGTCTTGAGGGAGGATTATTCCAAAGCCGTCCAGGCTGCCGAGTGCATGGCCAAGATGGACCCCCCGTCCTGGTCAGTTAGTGGATGGATGGATGGATGGATGGGTAGGTGGGTGTGTGAGTGAATGAATTGATTAATTAAAGGATGGATGGATAAGCACTGGAATGGTTTAATGAAATAATAGATGAGTGATTGAATGAATTAGTGCATGAGTTAATGAATGAATGAATGAATGACTATTTATTGGATGGATGGACAACAAAGGTACTTAAAATCCACACTCGGCAACATTGACCTGATCAATGCTTACAAGAAAAAGGATAGCAACAAGGAAGAGTCCATTGAGGAAAAGGTGGGTGTCCAACACTTTATTCATTTGTTTGTTTGTTGTTCGTTCGTTCATTCATTTGTTCATTCATTGATTCATCCTTTCATCCATCCTGATAACGTGAAAAGTTGAATGAGGGGCATATTTTTTTGACTTGCAGTTGTACGATTTCTGGACGGAGTACTTCACAGAGGCCACCAAGGCTGACACTTCTTACACGAGTTTCCCGGTATGTTTAATTTTCATTTTAATTTATCCATTAAATTATTGTTGTTTTATTAATTATAGATATTAATCACTTCAATAGTTGTCATCGACTTGTTCAAAGTTACTTCTTTGTTTGTTTATTCGCGTTTTCGAGTATTTTTCTCGTCCAAATAAACCATTTCTGGCGACGAGATGATGCAATTGTTAGGAGCGCAATGCAAGTAGATCTCCTTATGGCACACCTCTCTCTCTCTCTCTCTCTCTCTCTCTCTCTCTCTCTCTCTCTCTGTGTGTGTGTGTGTGTATGTGTTGTTATGATACCTCTAAGAATTAATTTAGAGGGAATTGTAAATTGCATGGAAAATATTCAGGTGCTCATCTCGGAGCCAAATCTGAAAGATCAGTCAAACCACAAGATGGTGCCCTGCTATCTCCAGGTCAATGAAGATGGTGATGATCCGGTTTGTTTTTGGCTGTTGCTGTTGCTTGTTGTTGGCTGTTTGAGGTTTTAGATTAAATTGATGGATGATTGATTGGCTGTGTAAATAGCCGGTCGATCGATTGATTATTTACATATCTGATTGTTTGAAAATTGGCTAGCTGGCTGGTTGATTTGTTGCTTGGCTGGCTGACTGATTGATTTGTTGCTTGGTTAACTGGTCGGTTGCTTGGTTAAGCATGATGCCGGCTGGTTTCACAAATGTAATGTTTCTAATCACTCTTGCTCGGTCACCTGGCACGATTAGTCGGTCAGACTGTGGCACGTTGGCGTGAAGAACAAGCCGAAGAGCGAGCAGTCGAGTACGAGCGAGGTGCACGAATGGTACTTCAGAGCGACCTCCATCAAGTTCATTTCCTCTTGCCAGCTGAACAAACGCGCCATGTTCCTCTACGTCTTCGACAACTCCGACGACTTCCACATCTTCTTTCCTTCCGAGATGCACAAAATCAAATGCTTCGACATGATCGTCAACATGAAAAACAACTACGCCCAAGAGAATAATGACGTCATAACGGAAGTCGTCATGTCCAAGTTTAACGTAACTGACGTTTGGTGATGCTATGATGATGACGACAACGATGATGTTTCGATGACGACGACGACGATGATGCTGCGATGATGATGATGGTGATGATGTTATGATGACGACGACGATGTTAAGATTACAATTAGTTGCTATTATAATTATTTAATTATGGATTCTGGAATATATTTTCATGTTTCTGTAGTAATCGTCATCATAAATTCACTAAAACTGCCTATGTACATACAAAATATACATCTGCCCACACATACACGCAAACTTACACACACACACACACACACACACACACACACGTTCACACATACACGCAAACTTACACACACACACTCACACGTTCACACACACACAAATACACACACACACACACACACGTCAACAAACACACACACGTTCACACATAAACACACACACGTTCACACATAAACACACACACGTTCACACAAACACACAGTACGTGTACCAATATGATTGGGATAACGAGAGGTTGATCCTAGGGAAAGGGAATTATGGGATTGTTTACGCCGGATACGACGATAACAACATCAAGATCGCCATCAAAGAAGTTCCGGAAAAAAACGTTGAGTCAGTGATGATGATGATGATGATGATGATGATGATGATGATGAGGGGAATCGTGATAATGATGATAATGAGGGTAATAATGGTGATGATGAAAATGATGATGATAATGATGATGATGTGGTGATGCAAAAGGAAATGATGATGATATGGTGATGAAATTGATTATGGTGATTTGGATGGTCAACAACAACAATAATGATACAACAAAAAAACA